TGTAGAGCAAAGTTTTCACCAGTGTGCGTCTGTTTGTAGAGCAAAGTCTTCACCAGTGTGCGTCTGTTTGTAGAGCAAAGTTTTCACCAGTGTGCGTCTGTTTGTCTGGCAAAGTCTTCACCAGTGTGCGTCTGTTTGTAGAGCAAAGTCTTCACCAGTGTGCGTCTGTTTGTAGAGCAAAGTCTTCACCAGTGTGCGTCTGTTTGTCTGGCAAAGTCTTCACCAGTGTGTGTCTGTTTGTCTGGCAAAGTCTTCACCAGTGTGTTCACCAGAGTGTATCTGTTTTAGTGCATTCCGGGCATAAAAAGGTCAAGGTAGTGTATGCTCTGAGCCGACGGCATCTTTAGTTTGGTCTCACATTTAAAAAATCAGTGTTATCCTCGTCTGTTTTCATCACCAATAGATGTGTAAAAGTGAGTGTGTGGGTTCCATGCCCCTATCTGACTATCAACACAATTTCCTCACCTATAGACATGTAAAGGTGAGTGTGTGGGTTCCATGCCCCTATCTGACTATCAACACACTTTCCTCACCTATAGATGTGTAAAAGTGAGTGTGTGGGTTCCATGCCCCTATCTGACTATCAACACAATTTCCTCACCTATAGACATGTAAAGGTGAGTGTGTGGGTTCCATGCCCCTATCTGACTATCAACACACTTTCCTCACCTATAGATGTGTAAAAGTGAGTGTGTGGGTTCCATGCCCCTATCTGACTATCAACACAATTTCCTCACCTATAGACGTGTAAAAGTGAGTGTGTGGGTTCCATGCCCCTATCAACACAATGTCCTCACCAACAAGGGTTACACAAAAATCTGACACAGACATGGGTGGTTCTGGTTCTTCCCTCACTTCTCTTCCATCTTCCAGGTTGCTGTGTTTACCGAATCTATTCTCGTCACCAATGTGGGTCTTTTCATCCATATTATGCTGATGAAAAATCTGTGTAAGCACTAAAATAAAACAACAAAAACTCCCCCCAAAAACAACATCAAAACAAAACCCTTACCCCAAACTGCATCTTGTATTTCTCCAGATTCTCCTCCAAATGTTGTTTCAGATTCACCCTCAGGGGGTGCCAGAACAGCTCCCAGCCAATCAGAGCCCTGGACACAGCGTGCACCAAGCAATGGCCGTCTCCGTCCGCGTGGATGGGAACCAGACGTTCCTCATTCTCGTTGGACAACTGGGGAAATCATGGGACAAATATAGCGGGACTTTGAGTTGGAC